TTAATATCACTAAATTAATCATGAAATGCACTCACTCTCCAATTGTACACTAGTTATTTTTATTTTTTAAGCTGTAATCACTGGGCAATAAATTGCGTAATTTTTTATTATGATGATTAAATGCCATATTTTTTTATTTTAATACTTTAAGAAAAAAAAACCATTGTAAAATATTAATTAATTAACTTTTATATACATCGGTCAACTAATTGGTGACTGGTCAACAACTGGTGCATTTACCCTATTACAAAAAAACACTTTTTTCATTTTTTTTCGACGATATCTCACGAACGCATCAATCGATTTTGACGATCTAGGTGGCGATCGATACGACGCGGATTGTCAAGGTTAAGAGCTGATTAGTTTTTGAGATCGATAATTTTTTTTTTCACTTTTTTTGCAATTTCTCGAAATCTACTGGTCCGAATGGGTTCTAACTCACGGGAAATCTAAGTTTGGCGAAACCCTTTCGGATGATTCCAACTGCGATCAAATCGGTCAAGCCGTACAGAAATTAAAAGAGGTTTACACACACACACACACACACACACACACACACACACACACACACACACACAGACGTACGGACATCATCGTAAAAATAGTCAGAAAAGCTTCTTAGGGTTTCAAAACGTCGAGATCTGTTGAAACCTCGATTTTTGCAAAACGGGGCAAAACCAATAACTTCCCGATTTTTCGAAAATCATTGACTTTCTCAGCTGAAAGTTAAAAGTTTTTTTTTTATAAATTTTTTTTTTTTTAGAAAAAAAATTTCTTTTATTTTAATTTTCGAATTTTTTTTGTCATTCCGAACTCGTAGAGCGAAAAATGGATAAAATCTTATTCCTTTCATTTTTTTAACATTTTGAATACTCGGGGTAGTAAAACTACTCAATAGATCGATCTGAAAATTTACAGGGTTAACAGAGGTACATTGAGGTGTAAAATCCCTGCAATGTCTAGCTTCTCCGTCGATATTTATCAAGATACAATCGATTAACCAAAATAAGGGAAAATTTTGTTTGGGATTTTATTAAGAACTTTTTCCAGTTTCCAAAACTGTCCTTTTTTTTGCTATGCAATTAGTGGTTGCAAAGATATTGATGGTTAAATACATAATAGTATTTTTCTTACCTGGGGCAGGAAAATAAGCAATGTCTCAGATTACATGTAATTGTTGACCGAGGCGAAGCCGAGGTCGACAAACATGTGATCTGAGGCTTTCTTATTTCCTGCCTGTGGTGAGGATACTATTTTTCTCCTCGACGGAGACGGAAAGCGACATTTTCGTTTAGCGCAGCGAGCAGAAAATTGACGCTTTCCGCACGGAGGGGAGAAAACCTCTTTTTTCGTCTAATCTCAGATGTCTCCGCGACAAATGGTCGTATCAAACTAAGTGAAGAATGATTTTAAAGCTGAATAAACAGGCTATCTGTTTCATAAAGTCGATTTGTCTGAAAATAATTTTTCCGAGCCCGTAGAGTAAAAAAAAATCAAAAATTCGGAAAATTTTTTTTTGCTCTATTAGTTCGGATCATGTTAAAACCGTAATATCTAAGATATTTTTGACCTTCAGATCTGGAAACTAGAGTTTCGGAGCTTTAAAATGAATTTTTTATTTTTGCAATACGATCTTTTTCCGCTTAAATACAGCCCGTCAAAAATCTAAAAAAAATTTGCATTTTTTATTTATTCCCTTAATTTTTGTCAGTATAGTATTATGCTTTGTCAAAAATTACTAATTAATCAATTTACCAGACTTTAATTTAATTAAAAACATATTTTTATTAAAGTAATTAAAATAATTTTCTGGAAAATAAGTATTAGGTTCTTTCATGTTAAATCGTCAAATGGTTGAAATCGACTCGTATTTGGATGAATTTTGGTAAAATAGTATATTACACATCTAGGGAAGTAAAATAAAAAATGTCCCAGATCACATGTAATTGTTGTCCGAGGCGAAGCCGAGGTCAATAAACATGTGATCTGAGGCTTTCTTATTTACTTCCCGTGGTGTGTATACTATTTTTCTCCTCGACGGAGGCGGAAAGCGGCATTTTCGTTTAGCGCAACGGGAGGAAAATTGACGCTTTCCGCCCGGAGGTGAGAAAAGCTTCTTTTTTGCTCGACGGGCAGAAAGCGTCAAATTTCGGCCCGCTGCGCTAAACGAAGTTGCCCCTTTCTGCCTTCGTCGAGCAAAAAAATAGTATACACTCCACGGGAAGTAAATAAGAAAGCCTCAGATCACATGCTTGTTGACCTCGGCTTCGCCTCGGCCAACAATTACATGTGATCTGAGACATTTCTTACTTTACTTCCCTAGGTGTGTAATATACTATTAACAGTGCAGTCAAAATCGGTTCATTCATTCGTGAGTTATCGTTGACGAAAGAAAACCGAAAAAAGTGTTTTTTTCCGAACTACTTCGAAATTCCGAGTTCGATTAATTTAAACTTAAAGAGAATTTAGGAGGCTCAAAAAATGCGTCGAATGCCACCAACCACGTGGAAATAGGTTTATTCATTCAAAAGTTATGGCGGTTTGAAAATTCAAAAAATTGTGTTTTATTAAACTTGTATTAGATTTTGGAGCTCGGAGAGCTGAAAATGGCACGAAAATTATATTTTTGAGCTCAAAGTGCTAAAAATGTTATGCATGTAATTTTGAGCGCTTAAGTATGAAATGAGCGGGAAGTTGCAGGGAAGGCCTTTAAGGTCAACCGTCTTCCTAATTTTTTTTTCTCAAAATATACTGAAAATCTTGTTCAGAACACCAAAAAGATACGCAAATTCAAAGGACAGCTCTTAATTTTAATTTTAGCATGTTCTGCATCACGATTTTTAATTTCTCATTTAAATAACATAGGTAAATTAAATTTTTCAAGTTGAGAATTTTTTAGCTCTTTAACGAGTCATCCAACTGACACGTCCATGATAAGTTCTTACAGGAAATTGAACGCTCTAAAAAAGTCTTAAAAATTTTTGATAAATGTAATCCTTCACAAGTAATTTGAGGTCATAGTCTAAATTTTTCAAAAATCAATATTTTGAAAACGGTTGGAGAAAAAAATTAAAAATCTATCAAGGCCTCTTTTAACTTATACTCAAAAATACAAAATGTTAAAAAAAAATGAAAATGCAAGAAAAAAACAAGAAAGTGCCCAATTTGGCATGAAATGCGGAAATTTGCAGTCAACATGGGTAAGGTAACTTGTGCGCTCTGCTATGACTTTATCGATCGTGTCGCAGATGGACTTACCACAGGAGCACCGTGTAAACACAGTTTCCATGCAGACTGTGCAGTTGTACGGCTGAATGTTAATAGTACGCGCGTTGCCGGAGTCAAGCTGCAAACTAAGTGCCCAGCCTGCAGTGTCACTGACGATAGATTAGTCACTTTGTTGGAGTCGATTGATCAGAAGTTGGGTGGATTTGGAGCCAAGCTTGATAAGGTTGCCGACGAAGTCAAGGCACTACGCACTGACTTCAATAAGCTCAAGGCTGAGCAGACTACGACTATTAAAAAAGTTGACGCTGTTTCAGCAAGAACTGACGACCTGGAGAATCGTGTTGAGGCTGTTGAGGCAAATTCGACGGAGCTTAAATTGTCTTCTGCTGATGAGGCTGTCCTACTCCGTGCTGCTTGCGATCAAGTTGCTCATCAGCTTGTCGTGACTGGGCTACCTGAGGTAGACGGTGAAGATGTCAAGGAATTGTCTAAATCACTGGTCAAAGTGCTTGATGCTGCATTGGGTGGAGATGAGTTTGTGGATGCGTTCAGAATTGGGAAAAGGCGCCGGGTGGTAGGCTCACGCCGCAGTGGTCTTGCAAGACCTCGCTCGGTCATCATCTCTATGAAGAGCAGGAATACGTGCAAAATATTGATTGATGCTAAAAAGGGTAAACCTGACTTGACCGCAAAACAAGTGAACCAAACTTTACCAGATGATAAGGTTTATATCAACTATCGGCAGCCAGCTCAACTTCACCAGCTCAGGGATCGCGTTTTGAAGGCTTTTCCAAATGTGGATCGCAAGCACATCTGGATTGCTGATGGAGCTGTATTTCTTAGGAAATCAAAGGATGATAGGCCGGTTAGAATCCTGCCGACTACAAATTTGCGACAATTATCTCTTTAACTCTTTGGGTCTCTTGCAACGTCAAATATAGCCAATAATAACGATCTTACTGTGCTGAACGTCTGCTCACTCAATGCTCAGTCTCTAATGGCACATTTTTGCGAGTTTCAAGAGTTCTTTAGGGTAAACCCATACCATGTGATTGGAGTTGTTGAGACATGGCTTTGTGATGCGATCCCTGACTGCCAAGTTGACTTACCTGGATATACGATGTTGCGTGTTGACCGGCATAGCAAACGCGGTGGCGGTGTTGCTCTCTATGTTCGGAAGGAACTTTGCTCACGTCTTCTTAGTACATCTGCTGGAGTTGGAGAGGTCATATTGCCAGAATATCTTATTGCGGAAGTATGGGGACCATCACAACACAAGATTTTGATTGCTATTGTATATAGACCGCCAAAAGCAGGATATATGTCCATGTTTGAGGATGACTTTATGCCCAGGATGATCAGCTACAAGTTTGTGTGTGTACTTGGTGACTTTAATGCGGACTTACTAGTGAATAATGATAAAGCTCTCAGGCTACGTGACTTTTTTACCAGAACTGGCATGAGTATTGTTCCGCTCCAACCGACCAATCACACTGGTGATGCTCATACCTGGATTGATGTCTGTGCGGTCAGCCATTTAACAGCTCTTGGCTCGTGGGGGCAGTCAGGTCAGCCTTTTCTGTCCTCTCATGACCTGACCTACTTTAGCCTCAAATACAAGCTTCCAAAACCTAAAAGACATCGGTTAAAGTGTTTATCGTGGAAGGAAACTGACTTTGCAGCAGCATCTGAGATAGTGAACGCAAATATGCATGAGTTTGATGACGACCAGGATGGCACTTTGCAAGCGGTTGACTTGCGATTAAGTAAACTCAACAGCTTGCTTGAAGACGTTGTGGATCAATGTGTTCCTGTGCGAGAGTTTGTTCCCAAGCGACGCCCAGCTCCATGAAAAAATGTCGAACTTCGAAAAAGCATTGATTTTTGTCAAAAAACTGAAAAATTCCATATGTATTGACTTACAAAAATTTTTTAATATTTTTTATCGGAAAGTACATCTAAAAACAAAAATTTTGAAAAAAAAAAGGTACCTAAATGTTTAGTTTTGAAAAAGTTATGGCTATTTGAAAATAAAAAAGCCATTTTTTTGAAAAATTCATAACTTTTTTGGAGTTAGGTAAAAAAATTCAAAAAAATTCTGAGAACCGTTTTTTATAGGGTAGAAAAGGATGGAAAACTTTCGGCCAAATCGAAAAGGGTCGGGGTCAAAAGTGGTCGATTTGGCATGGAATACCCCATATGCAACTGTATATAATCCTGCATGGTTGTATATCGCTCCATATATAGTCATATATATGATTATATATAACCTCATACACAATTCCATATATAATCATATATGATTATATATAATTATATATGATTATATATAATTCTATATAATTATATATGTGATTCCATATATAATCATATATGATTATATACAATTATATATGATTATATAGAAACATTTTTTCTCGGGTTGCTTTTGTAGAATTTTTAGTTTGAATGCAAAATAATTCAAAGTACTTTTGAAATCTGACGATGAACGTAGATAATGACTTCCATCATCACAATTTTCGAAATGCTGAACTTATTTAACTCTTTATTTTTGTAAGTACTGTAATTCGAAGATGATTGTGGAAAAAACCTAACAAATTTTAGGCAAGTAAGATTTCTAATCTCACTTCTTTCTTGCGTTTACTTCACCATGTGTGTGTTCATGCGCGCGCGTGCGTGCATGCATGCGTGGGTGTTTTTTCGACTCACGTTAAATTAACCAAATACAAGTTTTTCTAGTTCCATCTCATACCTAAAGTGCCAGGAAGATATGGACAGCTGGTAACATGGTTGAAGTTTTGCGATTGCATCTCCTCTTGATCAGTCTCTCGATGATAGAAGTAATTGAAATTCGATACAATGACTGGAACCGGCAGAGCTATTGTCAAAACTCCAGCAATGGCACATAGTGATCCAACGATTTTTCCCCACACACCAACAGGTCTGAAAAAAATAATCATATATTATTATTTATCAAAAGACATGAGTTACGAAATAAAAATAAAATTTCTACAAAATAAATTTTCTAGCCAAGACATTATCATTTTCTACTGTCAATCAATTTTTATCTTCCCGCTAAAAATCTCAGATTTTCAAAAATCGGGAAGTTATTGTTTTCACCCTGTTTTGCAAAAATCGAGTTTTCATCAGATCTCGACGTTTGAATGTCACAGGAAGCTTCCCTGACTACCCCCGCGATGTTGTCACTATGTCTGTATGTATCTGTGTGTGTGTGTGTGTTGTTTTTTTTTTTTTTCTAGTTTAGGGGGGGGAATCCTTTTTACGGATTCTAGGCATAGATGTTGGCCCGGATATGTGGCGACTCGACGCAGCGTCATACTAAAACTCGACGCTAACGCCCCTACCCACT